GAACTATAACTCATTTTAAGACTTCTTGACGTAAGCAGAAAAATATAAACGGATTAAACGCCGATCCTTTTTTAGACCAAAAATAAAACTAGTTTATAAATTCTTCGCTTAATGTTAGCTTAAGAGTATTATTTATAAAATCGCTTACTCGAACATGAAACTGCTGAAAATTATATTTTTGTACTATTTTGCTTTCAAACCACGTAAATATGTATGTAGACCATATAAAATGTGTACGATTCTAGTAAAAACAGTAAATGTTTTAACGTATTTTTGGGGTTCCTTATTTAGAAAGGAAAACGGAAGCAGTAACTTTTTATCTTCTGGATAATAGATTCTCCGGGCAAGTTCCTGCAAAATCCATCCACCAACCAAAAACCTATATTTATTACCAATAACAATGATTAAAAATTAAAAGGAAGATTCACTCCTAATTACCCCAAAAAACTTTACTTGAGCGGACACGTGTTTCGCCCACTTCATACGTGGGCATTATCAACGCGAGATTGGTTCTAAAATTTACAATTCTAACTATTTATAGTGGTGGGGGTTGAAAACCGAAAGAAAAAATAATGGAAAACAAATTACAAAGTTTGGGATGACCACTTGAATACGTTCAGTGCCATTTGTAAAATGTTTTAGAAGCCATTCTTCAGAAGCATACATTTGTAGAGCTGTTTTTCGTGGCCAAAAGAATGGCTTCTAAAACATTTTACGAATGGCATTGAACGTATTCAAGTTTTCATCCCAAACCTTTGTAATTTGTTTTCCATTATTTGTTCTTTCGGTCTTCAACCCCCGCTACTATAAATAGCTAGAATTGTAAATTTTAGAACCAGCCTCGCGTTGATAATGCCCACATATGAAGTGGGCGTGTCCGCTCAAATAAAGTTTTTTGTGGCAATTAGGGGTGAGTCTTTCTTTTAATTTTTAATTAATATTTACCACAGTATCCTCTCTCTACTTTATAACTAATCCCCATAGGCGTAGCAACGATTTTTTCCTACGGGAGTCAAAGTTTCAATTCTATCTATCATGCATATGGGCCCATAAGGATTAGCCAATGCTAATCCTTTAAATACTTCTGCAAAAGCACGTTTACGATATAATTACGTTTAGGATAATAGACAAAGTGTTCAAAACGTGTTCAGCTTCATTTGCACGTTATTATACATTGAACGGGTCCCATAAAAATTTCAAGACAAACGGAATTACGTCCGGCTGGATAGTAAATTCGAATTTGTAAGATCGTCATTAATCTTGGGTTACACCGAGAGCGGTCTTCTGCATGCTTTTACTTCGAAAGATATTGCGCACTCACTCGCGACCGACGCGCCGCGTCGCGTCGTTTCTTCTTTAGACATTATTCACTTTCGAATAAAAACTTATCTAAACTCCGTTGAGCCAAATGGAAAGTGGCAGTCGTCCCTGTAATGGATTTCTAATTTAATGACAACGAATAATATTATGTGCCTTACCACATCGACTTAGTACGTAGCTTATTTCGTATACAACGTTTCAGAAAAGTATTCATTACTTCATCTGTTGATAACAGAAACGACAAAAATAGATTTGCGATTAGAGCATCAAATATAGAATATTGTATATTATTACAATGAGCTCAAATGTATGTAATCACCTTTTTTTAGCAAAAACCTCGGAGTTAATTCATATAAATTTGGCATCATTTATATAAATAATTTAATCGTTACTTAATTTAATATGTCTGCCAGCTTCTGTCAAGTATTTTTCTTTATCAAACATTTATTGATGTGACTTTGCCTGTCAAGAGAAGTACAGCATCAGATCGTTCGTCCAAAAGACACGCGTTTGTCGTATGTCGTTTATTTTACGATGAGGCAGAAGCAGAACCTTCTCCCTCATGCGCGCATATGCATTGCATCGCTTATCCCGTCTACTCAGTGGCACGAGAACACGCATAAAGTCCGTATCACGTAAAGTGGCGGCTCAGGCAATAAAAC